CAGAGTATTACTCAGCCAAAGAAGGATGAAACTATGTTGTTTATAGGAAGATAGATGCAACTAGAGATCACTACATTAAATAAAATAAGCCAGACTAAAAAAGACAAACATTGTATGTTCTCTCTTATGTAGAATCCAGACCTAAACAAACATAAAAAGAACGAAGAGATTGTTTTGAAGTAGAAACTGCTGAAGGGCAAAAAGGAAGGTTATGTGGGGCTGGGGCAGGGTGTGAATATGATCAAGGCTTATATATATACATGAAAATAAAATAATTAAGCCTATTAGAAATTACTTAAAAAGTGGAAGAGATAAGGAAGAGTAATAAATAACAGAAGGGGTGAATCTAATCTAAGTCCATTATATAGAAATGTCACAAATGAATTCCTTTGTATAATTAATATATGCTACTAAGACAGAGGTAAAACAAAATATCCAATCATTTCCAAGTTTGCTGAAATTGATTTCCCAAATAACTATAGTATCTATTTATGTTGCTATTAATCTGTCTGTGTATCTATCTGATACATGGTTATCCCAAATTCAATCTAGGAGAAAAAAAAATCAACTCTTTTCTGTAATCCTTAAGAGGGCAATGCAAACATACTTTAGACTAGTTAACCACTCTCTACTTACTCTGGAAGAAGTTTATATTTTTCCAAATCAATTTCTGGGAAAAATGTGTCACTTTCAAATTCCTGCATGATCCGTGTCACAAATAGTTTATGATGGCCTGGCTGATTCATGGCTTCCTTTAAAACAAAGGGAAATATACATTTTCTTAATCTGGGTCAAAAGAGAAACTCTAAGACTTTCATTTTAATTAGCTAAGTTTATATCAGGTAGTAAAGCTAGCAAGCTTATAAGCTGGTGTGCTTACAAGAATTCCTTTTTAGGTAGGGACTGGTAGCTCATGCCTGTAATCCTAGCTACCTAGGATGCTGAGATCTGAAGCTTTCTGTTCCAAGCTAGCTGGGGCAGGAAAGACTACAAGACTCTTATCTCTAACTAATCACCAAAAAGCCACAGTGGAGCTGTGGTTCAAATAGTAGAACAATGGCCTTGAGAACAAAAGCTCAGGGACAGTGCCTAGGCTCTGAGTTCAAGCCCCAAGAAGGGCACAAAAAGCAAAACAAAACAAAGCAAAAAAACCTCTTTTTTAATTTAATCATTCAGTTTGGTGTTTTCCTTTGGCTGCTGTTTTAAGAATTAACCCCAAAGCTGGGCACTGGTAGCTTATACCCATAATCCTAGCTACTCAGGAGACTGAGATCTGAGGATACTTGTTTAAAGCCAGCCCAGACTCTTATCTCCAATTAGCCACTAGAAAACTAGAGGTGGCCTTGTGGCTCAAAGTCTCAAAGTGGTAAAGCACTGCTAGACTTGAGCAAAAGAGCTCAGGGACAGGGCTTAGGCCCTGAGTTCAAGCCCTATAAACAACTGAAAAAAAAAAAAGAATTAAACCCAAAGGAAAATTTACATATGTATTACTGGGCAATATAATACAATTTTATGAGATCTTTCTTATTAGAAACGCTTCTATAACAATTGTTAACAATTGTTCTTAGTCTTTTTTGTTAATAATTTTTCTGGTTAGTTGTGGGGCTTGAACTCTGGGCCTGGGCACTGTTCCTGAGCTCTTCAGCTCAAGGTGAATACTCTATCCTTTGAGCCACAGTGCCACTTCCTTATTGATAATTTTTATAGAAAAAAAAAGCTGGTTTGGAACAAATACTTTAAAATTTTAATAGAAAGGATGACTCCAAATTGCCCATTCAGTTCGGTACTGGTAGTTCACACCTGTAATCCTAGCTACTCACAGGTTGAGAGCTAAGGATTGCAGTTTGAAATCAGACTGGAAGTAAAGTCCATAAGCCCCTTATCTCTAGTCAACCATAAAAAAGCCCAAAGTGAAGCTGTGGCTCAAGTGGTAGAGTATGAGCAAAAGAGTTAAGAGATAGTGCTCAGGCCCTGAGTTCAAGCCCAAGTACCAGCATCAAACAAAAAAACGAAAGAACAAAATCAAACTGTGGATCCAAGAAAGCAGTAATAATTTTTGTTCCTCAAACATACATAAGGAACAAGAAAAAAATTTATATACATACATACATATATATATGAAATTCCAGGTCTGTGTTATCACTAAAATTCCTAAAAAGGGCACAGAACAAACTTTCAACTTCCATTTTTGATATTTCCAGGTATATTAAATCCTTTAGTATCTTTGCTACAACTAAATATTCTACTAATTCTTATTGTTGCCCAACTAGAAAGACTTACAGTACTTACCACAGTTCCATCCGAAGTTGTATAAAATTAACCAAGTTTTTCATAGAGGTCTATATACTGAGTATTTTAAGCTTCGAAGGCCAGAGGGTTTCATCTATTTAGGCAAAAGCAGTCACAGACAACAGACAACACTAGACACACAGGCACGGCTATGTGGCAATGAAGCTTTATTTATGTGGTCTATGGAAAGATCAGCCTGAATGATCTACCATCTATTATGATGGAAGCTAGGTGAATAATGAACTGCAGGTTTTATTTCCTTACCATAAATCAAATTATACAAATGCATTGAAGTACTTATAGAATTTACTTATTTATCTAGTTTTATAAAATATAAAGAGAGTTAAGTTACTGTTTTATAGACCAACATAAAATTGTGGTGAAAGATGTTTACTCTCCTATGAACTGTCTTAAAAACAAAAGTAGAAAAGAAATAACATCTGTAACCTAGCTGTCTGTATGGCATATCTACATCACATGTATTAAGTACTTTGAGATACAGAAATACTTGCTTTTATTAGAGAACATAAGGGTCCATTTTGCTGAGGGTAGGTCATAAAATGGAAGGGGATGCTGTCTAAGAAGTGCAGATTTTTAGAGTCAGGATTTGTGAAGAGGATTGGTTCTTGGCATAGATTGGGCTTTCAACAATCTTCAGAGGCCATGTTTTGGGTGCTTGGTCCCCAGTCTATGCTGCTACTGGGAGGAGGTGGAACCTCAAGAGGGTGGAGCCCAGTAGTTAGGAAGTTAGGCCATTGGGACAATGAAGGGGATGGATATTAGGACAATAGTCTGTCTCTTCAAACTTTTTTACTACTCTGCTGCCATGACATGAGCAGTTTCCTTTTGTGTGCTCCTACCACAATGTTTACATACTTTATAGTATTCAAATCATTCATTTTCAGATGAATATGGTATTGAATCATTCAAAATGTGAGTTTCTCAACAAAACAAATAACTAGTTTTCTTGAAGACACTCATATTTGGATGAAAAAAATCAAATAAAATAAATGGGGAGGGGCTGGGAAGGTGGCTCAGTGGTAGAGTGCTTGCCTTGCATGCCTGAGGCCCTGGGTTCAATTCCTCAGCACCACATAAGCAGAAAAAGCCGGA